CGCCCGCCGGCCGGGCAGTCCCTCCCCCCCCCCCCACCCTTCCCGCAGTAGCAGCAGCAGCAAAGAGCATGTCCTCGAGTAGGGCCAAGAAAGTGAAGATGGCCACCAAGTCCTGTCCGGAGTGCGACCAGCAGGTGAGGCCCCTGCTGGGCATGGGGTACTGAGCCGGACCAGCTCAGCCCCACTGAAGGCCAAGCCTGGGCAGAGTTGCTTTCTCCATCCCAAAGTTCTGCAGCACCCTGCACGTGCCCCTCCACGGGGTGGGAGGGGAGGAGAGACTCACCTTTAGAAAGTGAAGATGGCCACCAAGTCCTGTCCGGAGTGCGACCAGCAGGTGAGGCCCCTGCTGGGCATGGGGTACTGAGCCGGACCAGCTCAGCCCCACTGAAGGCCAAGCCTGGGCAGAGTTGCTTTCTCCATCCCAAAGTTCTGCAGCACCCTGCACGTGCCCCTCCACGGGGTGGGAGGGGAGGAGAGACTCACCTTTGCAACCCTCTGTTCGCTTCTATTTAATTAATAAAAGCCCATTCTGGGAGTTGCAAGGTTGTTTTGGGAAGGGGCATGCCTTTACTTTGCTAGCTCTCTGGAGTGCTGTGCTCTGGGAGCTCTGACGAATGGCTTTGAGGAGACCCGAGGAGAGCTGGGGGTTACAGTGAGGCTGGAGAAGAGAGGTTGAAAAAACTTTTTTGTACCGTTACAGAATGTTTTTCTGTGGAAGTGCAAGACAGCATGAAAATGTTAGTAACGCAATGCAGGTTAGGTGGTGGGGGGAAAAGGCTTCTCATACCACAAGAATCTCGTGGTTCAGCTTTCTTAACAAAACTCTTATTTATTATTCAGTAATGGCTTCTAACTTCCTAATTCATCATCATTCAGAAAGCCCATTGAAAGTCTGCTTTGCCCTGTCCTTGCGTGGCACGAGGTATGTTCAGTGTGCTTATTCAGCCCTCTTAGTTGGACTGGATTCAGAAGGTCAGAGCCCATTTCCATAGGCTGCTTTCACTTTCCTTGGCTGTGTGTTGTGTGTCACTACACCACTGCCTAACTGAACATAGTGCTTTTAATGCCCTCTGTTGCTTCAGTCCACTCTCTACTTCTTGATAGCTAGTACTTGATTTTCTGGAGTTACAGCATTGCCTGGGTGTTGAACCTTTACAAGGTTAATTCAGGAAGTTTCTCTTTGGCTCAGATGTATTCAAGTTGTGAAAAAAGATAAGCTAGCTTCCTGAATTTAAAATAGAACTCTTATAAACATTGCTTAATTCTGAGCCAGTGTTCAAGTGCAATATGGCCTTTGCCTGTCTAGTCTTTGTTTGGAATCCAGTCGGAATGTTTTGAGACATTTATTAGCACTATAGAATTATGCGGACGGTATTAGTACAGTAATTTCTCATTTAACACAATAGATGCGTTTCTGAAAATGTTTGTGTTAAGCGGAAACGTGCTATGCGAGGTCAATTTTCCCATTAAAAATAATGGAAAAGGTGGGGGTTGCGTTTCAGGTGGTGGTGGCAAAATCAATTTTTTGTTGGTGCTGGGTCATCAACATTAGTTATCTAGCAACACAAAATAACTAGCAACACAAGTCGCTGCTGTTTGTTAAAACACAAAGATAAACGTGAGTGAGTGGAGGAGCACTGTGACCACGTGTATTCATCCGCTCATGCGTATTATCTTTGTTTTCACCAACCTAAACCACCGCGCAAAGTAGTCTGCGACTTGATTATTTTCGTGTTATTTCGAGGAAGGTTGTGTTATTTGAAAAACTTTCCTTAAAATAAAAAATTGTGCTATTGCGAAAATGTGTTAAGCAGGCACTTGTTAAACGAGTAATTGCTGTATTTGTTGGGTTAATAAATGGATTAAAATACAACTTTACCTTTGGAATCATAATAGCAAATGTGTGATACTGATTGAGTAATTGTCTCTCCCTTTGCTGCAGTTTACCAGGTTTGGACCTTAATCAGAACACTTTCGAGTGTGGTGTCAGAGATGTAGCTGTGATAGTTTCAGTGACAACAACAAGGAGTCTGTGGCATCTAAAAGGCTAACACATTTATGAGGGCATAAGCTTTTATGGGCTGTACCTCATTTTGTTAGATGCATCATCCCACAAAAGCTTATGCCCTAATAAATGTATTGGTCTTTAAAGTGACACAGGAGTCCTAGCTGCTAATGTGGTGTGAGTCAAATCTGTAGGGAGTTTTGTGAGCTGCTGCTCCACGTGTTGATAAGCTGTTACTGGTATATTGCCATGTGGATGGACTATTGCAACAGCATTAAAAATTACATAGCAAAAACAATCAAATTGTATATTAATAATTTTATTTTTAACTAACTTTATGCTATTTATCGTTTATGTATCACTAATTTTGAACAATGAAAATGACTAGTCATTTTCAGTCTCATAATTCACAGGAAAATGGCACAGCACTACACTGGAACATTCACCTCAAAGTAATTTCAACTTATTGAAAAATGTTTGTTTAATATTACATGCTGTACAACTCTAAAAATATTTGTCTATTACCAGATGTGTTCTGCCTTTAATAAATAAAATAAATAAACTTTTATAAATTATAAGCATGTGCTTATCGGATAGTCGACTAGTGACTCAACTAGATGCTTTCTTCTACCCCTACTGCCTCTATCGGAGAAAGACAGCAAGGGGGGAGCAGGAGTTGGTACTGCCATCTCTGGGCGGGGCAGGGGGAGGGAAGCAGGGGTGCAGTAGGGAACTGGCAGTGTTTCCACCTTTTGAAATGTAGGGGCTCTTGCTACATTTCAAAGATGGGAGCATGAGGCCAGCGGGGGACCCAAGCAGTCCCCTGCTGGCTCCCTGCTCGCGCTTTGCTTTTGAGAAGCCCCTGGCTCTTGTACATTTCAAAAGCAAAGCACAAGCAGGGAGCACAGGGCCAGCAGGAGACTGCTTGGGTCTCCCCCTGGCCCCATGCTCCTTGCAGTGCTTCTACCTTGGGAAAGTAGCCAGAGCCAGCAGGACTCTTGCTACATTTCAAAGGCAGAGACGCCCTTATGGACTAATCGAATAGTCGATGCAAATTGCATCGACTATTCAATTAGTTGATTAATCTAAATTTAACATCCTTAGCTTGACATAAAATGTTGATTTGCTTATTCTTGCCTGGCTTCTACTTGCAATAGACTTATATTAGTTGTAAGGCATTTCTGTTCATCCTCTATATTTGTGTGGAAAGCTAGGCTTTGGGGGATATGCTTTCATGTTAGGTGAAATCGGAAAGTAACTGAAATACTTATCTGGTGGATTATATTTACTGAAGGACAATCTATCCTAAATGCTTAATTACTGAAGGAAAATCTACAACTTATTAAATCTACAAATTAGATTTGCTTTCTATAACCAACTCTATATAACTTTTCATGAGTGATGTACTTGAATATTGGGATTCTAGTATCTAAACTGTATTGGTAAATGTATTAACATAAAATATACTACACAATCTGCAATAACCTTGGTTTAAGAATCAGAAGATAAATATGTTTTATGCATTTGGGTAAGCTAAGCACAATACCTAGGTGTAAAGTCACTCTTCAACCTGTGTATTATATAATTTTTACAATAGTGTTGTTAATTTTTTTTAAATATTATCCATTGCAAATGCTTATATGTTTAAATTGACATTATTTTGGAGGGTGAGAGTAGCAAGTTCTTCTTAGATCTCATCCTGGGTGATAAAAGAAGAAATTAAAATGAATAAAAATATTGGAGCTGATGATACAGAGCGAGCAAGTAAAATTGTTGTTTTTAAAGGTGCTGCTAATTCATTCTGCTCATTCAGCCTAAAGTAAATGGTATGCATTAGGGATGTTAGGTATCAGTAATTGAATACTTGTGTAACCGCATGAATACTTATTGGTTACACGAGTATTTGATAGTCCTAGGGGTGCTGGCAGCCAGTGTATTCTGGCCCCACTCCCGGTGAGCCCCCTGCCACCCGATGCTGCTGCCTCTCTATCAGCCTCTGTATCAGCTGCTGCCTAGATCCCCGGTGATCCCAGGCTTGCGGTGCACAGAAGTTGCTTCGTGGCAGCGTCCCCTCCTCCCCTCAATTGCTGCCTCTGATAGTCAGCAATGCCGGTGGTGTGGGAGGGAGAGGGCAGGCAGCACTGTGAAGTGGGTGCTGGGAGGAACTGGCTTTTACGCCAGCTCCCTCTAGTACTAGCTCTTGCCTCCCCCTGCCACCTCTGATACAGAAGAGCCAGAAAGGGTGGAAGGAAATGCATGTAGTTGACAAGATTAACTGAGAAGCCTAGGCTTATCGGTTAATCATATGGTTGACTACGCATTGATATCCCTAGTATGCATATATCTGAATAGAATTTCTGTACTAGTAGCTCTTCATGCTGCTAGCATGGAATTACATGCATATGTGCTGTCCCAGCACAAAGGCTTCTAGTGTGGCCTGATTATTTTTCCCTGGGATTCTTGTGCCACACAGTAGAAGAAACTAAATTCTTGCTTTAACATTATTGGAACAGACAGCTTTTGATGTAAGTGGCTAGATTATATAAATTTCCCAGAATAGTCACCCATGATTATCTGTCAGTCCTTCTATAGAATAGTGATAGAAATGTAGCCGTGTTAGTCTGGTGTAGCTGAAACAAAAAACAGGACTATGTAGCACTTCAAAGACTAACAAGATGGTTTAATAGGTGATGAGCTTTCGTGGGCCAGACCCACTATTTGATCTGAAGAAGTGGGTCTGGCCCATGAAAGTTCATCACCTATTAAACCATCTTGTTAGTCTTTAAAGTGCTACATAGTCCTGTTTTTTGTTCCTTCTATAGAGTAAGTTCTCACGTTGGGGCATTGATGGGTAGTCAGACTGTAGTATGAATTCTGAAATTCTCTCGGAACAGGGGTGTTGAGGAACATGATCAGAATTTTGTGCTACCAATAATGTGTGTGGAGAACTTCCACGGAAATAGTTTAACTCAAACTCTTGAGGTGATTTTAGTATATTAACTGCATACTAAGGATGTGAACAACTAGCTGACTAATTGCTCCCCCCCCCTCCCGCTGCCTCCATCAGAAAGAGGCAGCAAGGGCAGGGGAGAGGAGGAGCCACATTAAAAGTGGCAGCGCTGCTTGGACCCGGGGCTAGGCTCCATGTGGCTCTGCTGCTTTGAAATGCCAGGTGCATCCTGGAGCCATCTGGGAGCCCGGGCTGTGTGATCTGTTGCTTTGAAACGCCGCATGCAGCCTTGGGTCAGCTGGGGTCTCTCCTGCTGACTCTGGCTCCATGCAGCACTGCTGCTTTGAAACGCCACGTGGAGCCTGATGCCAGGCTTTCTGCAGCATTTCAAAGCAGCAGCCTTGTATGGAGCCTGGGGTCAGCTGGTAACTCAGAGACCCAGCTAACCCTGGGCTCCAAACAGGGCTGCCACTTTGAAACGCCACAGGGAGCACGGGGCTGTTGCTATACTTCACAGGCGGAGACTCCCTTATTGACTAATCGAATAGTTGATGCAAATTGCATTGACTATTCGATTAGCTAATTGAAATTTTACATACCTACTGAATACAGCTTAAGTGTAAGAGCTCACTTAGAACCACTCACCGTATATGGTGTTAAAACTAGAAATGTAAAATCCCATTTAATTGGCCAACCAGTTAAACATATTGTTTAACTGGTTAACTAATTAAAGGGGGCTGTCAGGGTGGTCCCACCCACTATTGGGCTGGAAATCCCTCCCTACCCCCGCTGCCATACACAGGGGCTGGTCCGGCATCTCAATCGGATGGAGCAGTCCCTGTCTGCGGCAGGCCTTCCACAGGCTGGAGCCCAGGGCCTGCCCATGGCAAGCAGGGAGCTGTGCCAGCCTCACTGGTTAACCTTAACCTGTTAAGGGTAGGGCTTACTGGTTCAATCTTCACATTCACAGTGAAAACAACATCAAACCATGTAGTTAAGTAAATCAAGGAGCCCAAGGCACATGGTGTTATTAGCATGAAATAAAGAACATTAATTTTTCATGGGTTGTGCAAATGATTTAAATGAAAATCTTGCATAGAAGAATAGGTGGGTATGATCCTGCAAACTCTTACTATTACTGCGAGAAGATCACTGCCTGTTATTAGTAGGCATTCACAACATTTTAACCCATATTTTACATTTTATAGCATTTTCTTTTCAAAGATGTGGACCCTGCATTTGTTGGAAGAGTGACTATGTAAAAATTCAACCTGTATTTATATTCAAAATTGTCTGGTATTGTTTGCCCTTTAAGCTCTCCTGCCTTCCTTCCTCCCCTTTCCCCATAGTTTGTTAGGCAAAGACTGAGTCTGAAAAGGTGACTATCAAGATAGTTGAAAGTAATAAACAGGGTAGAAGGGAAGTTCTATGCCACTTTAATTATAACTTCAAATACCAATCATTCATCTATATTTAAAAATAAATATAGTAGTTTGTTTTTGTTTTGCAGCACATTTGTCTGGCATTGAGCTTATGAAATGAAGATGTAGTCTTTTCTTTGGTAGGGATGTAAAATCTTGGTTAATCAGTTAACCTGTTAAACCTTAAATTTAACCAGTTGACAGATTAGGCAGGATCCCTTTCTGTGCCCCCTCTCCCCCTGCTTGGGGCTGCTGGCTGCCACTGCCTTCCTCCCTCCCCTGCTGGCTGCCAGTACTGGAAGTGAGTCATTCAATTTGAAGTGGAGATGTGGATATCCAGAGGAGAAATGGCCTTTGTAATGGGTTTCCCTACTCTAGATAGTCACATCTCCACACCAAATGCTGTGAATGACCCACTTCCAAACTGACTTAAGTAGCTTAATTCACACAAGCAACTTCTTCCTTTTATATATACTCCTGTTTCTGTAATTTCCACTCCAATTCATCTGATGAAGTAGGTTTTACCCATTAAAGTGAATGCCCTAATCAATCTGAGAGTCTGTAAGGTGCCACAGGACTTCTCATTTTTGCATTGCAATGAACTGTTTTAAATTGCATTGTGAATGCTTCAAGTTTTGGTTATGAAAAAATGCTTTTGTTAAATATGATGTCCTTTTAAACCTGTGAAGCAAAACACAGAAAATATATCTGTACTACAGAAATCAATAACACAGTTTGCATGGTCTGTATAGCAAGAAAGTTTTCCTTAGAATGTACCAGTTTGTGGCGTTTCTTCTACTAAAATAATTAAATTGGTTTCCTGTGCGTCTGGTAAAGAGTAAACAGTAAATTTGAGTTACACTTTCATTATTGCATGATCTTAATAAACAGCAGCAAACCTGAAGCTACTTGTCTCAATGTTTTTGATATGGTTATGCCTTTTTTGGAGGGGGAGGAGGGGAGAGTGTTCTGTACTGTCCTGCATTAACATTGTTCTGTTTGTTCCAAATCTTTGTTTAGTTTTTTCTGTTTTTTAGTCCTTTACCTATCAAAACAGAGCAGCACAATGCATTCCTTGTTGCCTTTTAAAGCCATGGTTTGCAAAATGCTTAATGTAGATGTAGAGCTTTGGTAACTTTTATGTGTGTGGTTTTTTTTTAATTGTTCAAAGAAAGAATTTTTGTTAACTTCTTTTAAATAAGGAAAGAATATGCTTTTGTCCCAAGTGTTCTAGAACAGTCTCATCAATTCTTCCACATTGCAAGCATTGTTCTGCCAGATAGGGGTAGTGCAGGGTTTCCTCTAGAATTTACCCAGCCTGCTTCTATTTGGCATTGCTCCGCAATATCCCCTTCTTTCTAAGGGTCTGGAGGGACAGAGCACTAATACCAAACATATGTGACATCCTAAAGTATACTTCTATAATGTACCCTGCACTAAAGAAGTACAAATGCAGTTAATGTAATTGTGTAACCACTATAAATAAAAGCAGTTACGTGCGCTGCGGGCAATGCAGCATAAATAAGCTTTGTACTTCATAGCCCACAGCGAAGCTTCCCCAGGAACGGGTCCAGGGCTGCTGCTAGCCATGCTCCCGGGGAAGTAGCTTTGCAGCCTCAGTGAAGCCACTCTCCAGGAGCAGGGACCACGAGGGCTGCTGCCAGCCCTGCTCCAGGGGAGGCTTTGCTGTGGGCTCTGCCAAGGGAAGGGGGCCAACAGCTCCTGAAGCCAGCATGTAATCCGCAGGGAGGGGGTTACATTCTAACCTTTTACATCCCTACCCTGCACCCCTCACATTTTTAAACTTATTGCTAGTAAATATCAGGGCTGAATTGAATGAGGATTCTGAGCGCTTAGTTCCACCGCAATTGCATTTATAACTTCTACACCTACTATGGAACTTTAATGATGAAACAAAATGTGATGACTATCTTGGAGAGCACATGCTTATATTTGGAACAGAAAAACTCTTGTGATACTTCAAAATCGTATTTTTCCCCTTTGCTTTCAGGTTCCTGTTGCATGTAAATCATGTCCTTGTGGCTACATATTTATTAGTCGAAAGCTCTTGCATGCCAAACGTGCTGAGAAATCACCACCAACTGCAGGTAAACGTTACTGAGGGGCTTTCCCTTTCATATTTCTGCTTTGGGGAAAAAATGAAGAGCATGTGGCCTCTTGTGTTATAAACTGTGACTTTTGTCACTTCTTTCTTTTATGCAGTCAGGAAAGGGAAACTTTGAATGTAAGTTAATCTTCCACAAACTAAGACAAAAAGTGGTGTTTTTACAGCCTTGCTTCCTGTATAGGGGTGTTAGTGGACATTTTATTCATTGTTTATCCTGTAGCTGCTTGCTTAATCACCATGAAAATATAACTGCCTAAAGAAAGCTTTCTGTTAATCCTACTTTGAAGATAAATGTCCAAAGAAGCCAGATTTCATAGTATTTGATGACTGAAGCTTGTTTTATTAATGTTTTAAATATTATATTGATTTTATTTACTCCGTCCTGAAATAGCAGCATGTCATTTAATACTTTGTGTAACAAATGATATTTTGAAAGCTATTAAAATGTTCATCTCTTTAAAGTATGTGGTAAAATAAACTATCTTAAATGCAAATCTTTCTGTAGATGTATACAAAAGGAATCAGTCAGATATGCTTTCTAGCATGATTCATTTTCTCTCTTATATTTGTATTAATGCTTTGTCCACCATTAATAGGTCATTACTCAGAACAAATCCCCTTGAGGGAAAATCCCAAAAGTATCTGATTTAGAATTGTAGAATTTCTTGACTTACAAGATTCAAAGGATCAGCTTAGAGAGTATCTTAATTTAATCTGATGAGAAAACGTTACAGTTGTCAACTGTAGGAAAAAATAAAGTGGTGATGTCAGACGTTGATTTGCAGTGTGGAAGCAGTGGGGAAATAACTGTGGAACTTGTTCTGGAAAAAACAGCAATTGCCTTCCATTGTTTAGCTAATGGTTGATTAATTAAACTAGTTCCTAACCAAGTTATATATGTTAAAGGCTTTATGATGATTATGCAAGGCTCTTGTGTACTTCCAGTGTGAAAGTGAATGCGTCTTGTTCTCCTGTCTAATATAGTCACAAACTATATCGAGCCATCTAGTTGTGGCATATGCCCAGTCTATAGCTAATTGGACAGGGGGGACACAAGGAAAGTAATAGAACCAGGTCCAAAGGTAAATACCAAAAATTCTCAGGTGCAAAATTTGGAAGCTTTCCCCCAAAACTGGCCTGTGAGAAGTGTAAAGGCAGCTTGACTAAAGCTGTGTATGCACTGACTTACACATTACATTGGAATAAGTTCCCTCACTAAGAGGTGTGTGTAAGCCATCCCCCTGAGCAACATAAGTTACAGTAACATAAGCACTTCTCTCGCCAACATAGCTGCCACTACTCACAGGGGCTGGTGTAATTGACAGGAGTGCACTTTCCTGTTGGCTTAGATCAGTGGTCTCCAACCTTTTTACGCCCAGGCTCAGTTTTTAAATGTCAGAACAAGCCAAGATCTACCCTATCCCTTCCCTAAGACCACACCCCTTCCTTGAAGCCCTGCCCTCTTTGTTCTCTTCTCCATCACTTGCTATCCCCAGCCCTTATACACTCTCAGGGTACAGCTACACTGCTGCTTTTTTTTCGATTCTTCTTGCAGGAAGAGGTTTTTCCAACATTTGGCCGGTCTAGACTGGGCCAAATGTAAAAAAAACCCCTTCTTTTGGAAGGCTCCTTATTCCTCGTGGAACGAGGAATACAGGAGTTGCCGAAAGAGCATGTTTGCTCTTCCACTAAAAAAAGTGGAAGAACCAGCACATCCCTGGACGTGGAAGAGTTTTTCAGGGATACCTCTGGTATCCCAGAAACACACTTGTAGTCTAGCCATACCCTCCCTGGGTTGAGAGAGGATGTGTGGGCTCTGGAGTGGGAATGAAGGATTTGGGTGTGGGAAGGGGTGAGAGGGGCAAGCTCTGGGAGGGAATTTGGATGCAGGAGGAGGTGGAGCAGGGGATACTGGGTCGGGGAGGGAACTCTAGGCAGAGGGTTGGAGTGTAATGATGCTGCGGCCAGATGGGGGCTTGGCCCCAATTGGGGTATGTTGGCCAGGCTTCATTTTTAAATAAAATATGTCAAACACAAAAAGTTTCAGCATTGTCTTTATTTATGAGAAGGGTGGGGAATCTGTTTTGAGTCAGGGGGTCATTGACCCACAGAGAAGTCAGTTGGGGCCACACAAGTGAGAGACAAAAAAAAAAAAACCAAAAAAAACCCTCTTCCCCGTCCACACATGCCTTTTTCCAAAAGAGCTCTTTCGGAAAAGGCATTCTTCCTCACAGGGGACATGGTACTGGGGAAGGGTGCCAGTGAGTGCTGGGGCAGGGGACAAGGTGCCAGTGGGTGCTGAAGCAGGGGACAGGGTGCCAGTGGGTGCTGCGGTAGGGGACAGGTTGTTGGTGGGGGGCAGGGAACAGGGAGTCCCCACATGTGCCTCCTCCCGGGATTTCTACCCCTCCCCCGCCCCGCAGGGGAAGGATGTCCTGGCTCAGGCCTTCCCCTCCTCCCCCCCAGGGGATGTCCCCGGCAAGCCACAGACCTGGCCTTTCAGGTACCGTGCTGGCTGTTTGGGGGATGGGGAGCAGCCAGCGCACTTCCTGAAACCCTGGAAGTGGTGCGCAGCTGCGGGACTTCCATCCACCCCGCTGGAAGCTGATGCTACCTCCATTGTCGCTGGAGGTAAGTAGTGGGGCTTCTTGGGGGTGGGGGAAAATAGGGGGACCCCACGGGCCTTCCTGATCGACCAGTCGATTGTGATTGACGGGTTGGTGACCATGGGCTTAGATTATCTTCTGCACTAGCAGCGCCATATGTGTGTCTGTAGAGCCCCTAATAGAATGGGCCTTTGATAGTAGTTGGAGCCTAGGTGTTGCTGTAGTGATAGTAGTTGGAGCCTAGGTGTTGCTGTAGTAAATACTGAATGTACAGATTAAATGGTGTCGTACATTGAATTTTATAATATGAGAATGGTTTCAGGAGTGATGGCAAAACAAAAACACAAATATGAAGATTTAGTGTTTGTCTCTTTATTCATCTCTTGATAGTAATTTGGAAAACCTGGCATGAGAGCAGTTACCAGAAGTGGTGCACCAGGAACACTTGAAAACTGTGATCTGTGTAGTTAGTGAAAGAGCTAAACATTTCCTATGCACTGTATGGCTTATAGATGCTGCTTATTTGTTGTAAAATGCTATGTGAATGTCATTACAATTTTGATTTGATCCTTGTGATTAAAAAAAATGGGGTATGCCCATGCCTTTGCCTCGAACAACTTGCTCAACTCTGCTCAGAGAATGTTGTGCATATTCAGTCACATGTTGTGAGCTGCTTGAGAGGTGACTTACTGTGCAGGCAATTCATCGTTCTTGTTAAGAGATCTAAGGAAAGAGGTGGGATGGGGAAAAAACCTGAGACTAAGTGACTCAAAAGACATAAAAGTAACCCTAAAACTTCTCTTTATTCATTTATACAGAAAACAAGAGTGAGGCCAAAAGGAGACGAACAGAGAGAGTTAAGAGAGAGAAGATAAATTCTGCAGTAAATAAAGACTTAGAAAACAGAAAAAGGTCCAGATCTAACAGCCACTCAGACCATAACAGACGGGGAAGAGGAAGACCTAAGAGTGTCTCAGCCAAAAAGCATGAGGAAGAAAGAGGTATGAGAATTACAAAACCTCGTTGGGGGAAGTTATTTTAATTTTTTTAATGGTGTGCTGGCATTAACTCAACTGGTGACATGTTCTAGGCTTTGTCTAAATTGCCCTTTCATTGTTAAAACTTGTGTTGCTCAGGAGTGTGAAACCACCCTCTTGCCCCAGATGACAAAAGTAATAGTGATGATATGCACATGTGTAGACCGTGCTTTAGTGGCAGGAGAACCTCTCCTGGTGATAAGCTACCACCCCTCCTTTGGGATGGTTTTGTTTTGTTTCCAAGAGAACCCTCAGTGACAAAGAGTGGCCAACAGGGTGTCTGCAGTGGCACAGCTGTGCCATTGTAAGGGGTGAAGTGTAGACGTAGTCTTATGTAAACTAAGGTAAACTGCATATTCCCTGTAATGTGAATTTGTAAATCATGATTTGAGGATGTCAAACTCTGCTAGAGATTAGGGGTCAATTACAGGAGTGGGTGGGTGAAGTTCTGTGGCCTGCAGGGTGCAGGAGGTCAGACTAAAATATAATCATGATCAGGGCTCGCCAGCCGTGCTGTCCGGCGATCTGCACATGCGCAGATCTCCCAAACCCAGCTCTTCCGGGTTGTAATCTACTTTCCACGGGTGAGTAGATTGCATTCTTTGTCAAACCCTGATCATGATGGTCCCTTTTGACCTTTAAAGTTTGAGAGTCTATGAGGAGGAAGAAGTGTCTCATGCTGTAGAGACTTAGTTTTTCTGTCCAGAGCAACATTGTTATGTATGGGAAGGCTAACTCATTTTCTTTGTGGAAGCAAGAACTGTTTCAGATATTTGCTTTTGAAAAGGTCTCTCGTAGGCATAAACCAATTGTCTGCAGGGGTCAGAGATGATTTCCTCCTTCTTCCTGTGTCTCTGATCAACCTTTACACATCTGACAGTGGTTTGGTTTCATTTTTCTCTGACGCAACAGGTGTAAGTCACTGTTAGAAGTAGGATACTGGGCTATGTCAGAGATTCTCACACTCCTTAATACTGAGAGTGTAGACTGTAAAGCATTTCACAGCTAGTTCTCCTGTTTCACATAGTACTTAAGATAAGAGGGTGCCAAATGAATTGGTATTATGGTTTTATAGTATTTCCTATGTTTGAGCAAAACACATACCAACTCTTTATATTCCTCAATAACAATTTAGTTCTCTGATTAATTGCAATAAAAAAGTCAGAATTGCTAAGGAGCAGTTGGACAGAAGTAAGTCTCAGAGGCGTAGCCGTGTTAGTTCATAACTTTAAAAACAAGTAGTACTGTGGCATATCAGCACTGGCTCCTGCTCCCCGCTTTGCTGCCTCTCTCTGATGGAAGCCACAAGGGAGGGAGGGGAGTGACTAGTTGAGTCGATACTCGACTATCCGATAAGCATTTGCTTATTGGAGAGTCGATTAGTTGCTAACATCCCTAATTCTTTTTAACCTTTTATTTTTAGAGGATTTTAATTGGGCCATATAAATGTCATCCTGAAGTTTGGCATACAGTTTTAAGGACTTAGGGAAGAAAGAACAAATTTTTCCATACATCCATAACTTTAATTTAAAATTGATGAAATTTAAAGAGAACTTTAGGAAGTTTACCATGTTGAGCTGTTTTTCTGTGCTGTTGTAACTTCAAAATCTTTTATCTGAGTTTCTGGAGGGGGAAATAAAAGTGGACATTTATCCATATTATACAATAGATCCTTTCAGGTCTTTTCAAACTAAAATATTTTGTCTTGGAGGGGGAAATAAAAGTGAACATTTATCCATATTATACAATAGATCATTTTAGGTCTTTTCAAACTAAAATATTTTGTCTTCACTGTAAAACAAAATAACTTCTTTTTCATAGTGATTTTTACTGGTGGCTTTTTATTTCCTTATCCAAAACTCACTAGTTTTGATTCTAGAAATGGCAGGCCATTTTTTGTGTTTGCTTGACCCTGCTAATTGTGTGATTGATATGTTTCTTCGCATTTTAAAAAACTTTTCAGGTTGCTACTGAGGTGGTGTGGTAGGCCTACTCAGTTTTCACCCCTCACTAAATGGTAACTACAAGTTGAACCTCCTTGGTCCGGTATCCTTGGGACTGGAGTGGTCCCAAGCAAGGGAATTTGCCAGACAGGGCTGGTTAGGCGTCCAAGCTTTCCTATGGCTCCCCTCCTGGCTGCTACCCCAGGACAACCCGGATTCCTGACCTCCTCTGGCCCAGTTGCCTGGCTCTGCTGCCCCCAGCCCACTCTCGAAGCTCTGCTCCCTGCCTCTAACCCTGCATGTGGGGGGGAGGGCAGCTGCTCTGGGGTTTCCTGGCCCTGCATGCAAGGTGGCAGTTGCTCCTGGGGTTCATGGCCCCCAGATCACTGGAGCAGCTCTGCCCCCAGCCACACTCAACCTCTGTGGCAGGGGCTCTCTGGTCTAGTAACATCTGTGGTCCTACCAGACCTCAGATGTTGCTGGACCAAAGAGTCCCAGACAAGAGAGGTTCAACCTGTATTAGCTAGGATAGAGGTTGTTATTTTGTTCTCTCTTTTTTTGTTTTGTTGCTGAAATACCGATATGTGTAATCTTCTATTTTAGCAGCAAAAGACTTCTCATTTCTGGTGTCTTACAAAAATAGTTGTGCGTGCCTGCAGAGAAGTCTCAAATGTGAATAATAGAGAACTGAGTCAGACTGACTTCAGATGAGGAAGGTTTTAATAGATGTTTTTCTAAATCAGAGGCTATGCATAGCACGTTGGAAAAGTTCAACCAGCTATAAAATGAGCAATAGTTACAGCTGAGAAAGATGAAACTGCAGTAAGAATGACTGTAGCTTACTAGTTCTGCGTTAATGATTGATACTGCTGCATGGTAGCATCATCTAGCAATATTTTTCAGTTAAGTTCTTCAGAACTATATTTCCATGGCTATGTCTACGCTGCAGAGTTTTTGCACAAAAAAGGCCATTTTTGTGCAAAAACTTGTGGAGCGTGCACACCTCAAGTGCATTTTTGCTCAAGAAAATTTACAGTGAATCAACAAAAGAGAGGTTTTTGCGATATAGGTATTCCTCTTTCTATGAGGAATAACTCCTTTTTGTGCAAGAGCTATTGGCAAAAAGGTGTGTGTGGATGGGAAATGGGTTTTTTTGCACAAAAACAGCCTATCAAAAGAAGCACAGGTGCCTTGGTGGCCATTCTGTTAATGGCAATCAGAACTTTCTTGCGAAAGAGCGTCCATGCAGTTTGGACACACTCTTGCACAAAAACGCATTGCTTTTCCAATGCGCTTTTCCAATGCACTTTTCCAATTTTGTAGTGTGGACGCGCTCTTGCACAAGACGTTTTTGCAGAAGAACTCTTCTGCAAAAAGCTTCTTGCGCAAGAAGCCTGCAGTGTAGACGTAGCCCCTGGGAATAGCTATTCATTTGAAAACATTTTGGAAAATAAGTTTGCTTGGTTAAGAAGCTTGTGAATAGATGACAGTAATTTAGTAAAATTAATTTGTTAATCTTTTGAATTCCAAGTGAATGTTCATGGAGAAAAGGGAGTACATTTTACTTTATATATTTCTAATACTCCAAATCTCCTGCCATGCTTTGTGAAAAGGAGTTGGAAGAAACCCCAAAAAGCTTTTCTGACAATTTTAGATGGCTGAGCTCATTTGCTTAGCGTAATGTGATACAGGGGAAAAAAAATAGCTTTGAGCCAGAACTTTGCAAAGTGTTTCATACAGAATAATTAGCACTTACAGTCCTTTTTTTCTTGAACAGTATACAAAAATAGTTGGGGTGTTCCTGTGATCTGTCATTTTATAAATGGGGGTGGGGGAGCAAGGAATTAAGGTAGGAAGAGAGAAAATTGCTCCTCCAAAGCTTTATGGGGGAGAGTGTGTGGAAGGAAGAGCTGTTGGCATATCTATGGTTCTTAACTCCTGACTTTGCTCTCCATGTTTGATTTAATGGGTCCTTCCTAAACCTGCTAAATCAAATACCAGATGCATCTCTGAAGTGGTAAATCTGGACATTGCCCAAGTGACTTGTATTCCCAAGATTGAATGGGTTTCAAATTTCCATACTTAACTAAAACAGCCTTCTCATAGCTTTGCATTAGAACAGCTGTGCTGGTTTTTAATATTTCAAATACCTCACTAAGCAAGCTGCTGTCCAGTGAATGTGGGAAGCATAGTTTTATAAGTGGTTTGAGGTTGCTAAATAGCTTTTCACAAAATGTATAATGTTCAGCCACTGAGGGCCAAATCTTGGTGTTTAAGGATTTGCCCTCACTGTCATTTTCACTGTGAACTATGGATGTGAGTGTAAACGTGTTCATGGTTAACCAATGAGCCTGGTCTCATGGGTTAGCCTTAACAATAATACACAGTATCCCACTTCACCTCAGCATGCTATTGCCTCTGTATCAGAGGCAGCAGTGTGTGTGGGGCAGGCAGGAGCACACGGAGAGTTGGCTTTTAAGCTAGGTCCCGCACATACCAGCTCCCGCGGGACTGCCTCCCTTCCACCGCCCCCTTTGGACCTATGCCATAGGGAAAGGACTATCCTATTTCTTACAGGTATGGAAGCCTTCATTTTGCAATACATTTTTATGTCCTCTGCTGAAAGGTGCTATTTCAGTGCAAAGTGTAAAGAGTTGCCTTTCATTTGGAGGAAGAAGCATTAGGCACCATTAGCTACATTAGCTACTCTCCTAATTGTGTGCTAAGAATCTTCCATATGATGTTAAAGCAAAATGCAGGACAATGTAGCACTTTAAAGACTAACAAGATGGTTTATTAGATGATGAGCTTTCGTGGGCCAGACCCACTTCCTCAGATCAAATAGTGGAAGAAAATAGTCACAACCATATATACCAAAGGATACAATTAAAAAAAAAGTGAACACATATGAAAAGGACAAATCACATTTCAGAACAGAAGGAGGATGCAGGGGAGAGGAGAGGAAGGTAAATGTCTGTGAGTTAATGATATTAGAGGTGGGGAATCACAACCATATATACCAAAGGATACAATTTAAAAAAATGAACAAATATGAAAAGGACAAATCACATTGCAGAACAGAAGGAGGATGCGGGGGGGTGGGAAGGGGGAGGAAGGAAGGTAAGTGTCTGTGAATTGCTGATATTAAAGGTAGGGAGAGTGGGATGTTTGTGAGTTAATGGTATTAGAGGTGATAATTGGGGAAGCTATCTTGGTAATGGGTAAGATAGTTTGAGTATTTGTTCATTCCTTCTCGGAGAGTGTCGAATTTTAACATGAATGACAGTTCAGAGGATTCCCTTTCAAGTGCAGATGTAAAAGGTCTTTGTAGCAGAATGCAGGTGGTTAAGTCATTGAGAGAGTGTCCTTTCTGGTTAAAATGGCAAGAAACTGTTTTTTCTTTGTGATCTTGTCTGATATCTGTTTTGTGGGCATTAATCCTTTGGCGAAGTGTCTGAGATGTTTGTCCAATGTACATAGCAGACGGACACTTTCGGCACATGATAGCGTAGATTATATTTCTGGATGCGCAGGAATATGTGTTCTTGATCTTATAACTCACTTGGTTAGGTCCAATAATGGTATCAGCAGAATGAATATGTGGACAAAGCTGGCAACGGGGTTTGTTGCAAGGGAAGGTACTGAGTCAACTTCACTGAAGACTAGGTTTTTGAATCTAAGGCTTTGTCTACACTTGAAGGTTTCAAGTGCAGCCAATGGCTGTTCTTGAATGTGGTGGTATGGCTTCAGTAGGAATGCTGGGAGAGAACTCTCATAGTACTCTAGTTAGCCTGTCCCCTTATGGAGATGGCTTAACGGTGCTGGGAGCATGTTTACTCTGACACTTTAACTTGCAGCAGTTGGACACGTGTGTGTGTTTTCACAGTAAAGTGACAGTGTAGACTTGCCTTATTTTCAGATGGTTGATTCTGCAGCTTTTTTTTCTGATGGGAGCTGATTGTTTTGAATACAACTTTTCATTACTTATGTGTTGTCCTATATTATAATAATTTAACAGCTGCGTAACTGATGTACAAACTTCTGATACAGGAGCTAGAGAAAAGCTTTTGTTTCATAATGACTTTTCTTCTTCTTCTACAGAGAAACAAGAAAAAGAAGTTGACATGTATGCTAACCTTTCAGATGAAAAGGCTTTCGTGTTTTCAGTGGCCTTGGCAGAAATAAACAGAAAAATTATCAATCAAAGACTTATTCTCTAACTTATCAGCACAATCTGATGTAATTGTATGCAGTATGACTAGCATATTTCCAAGGTGTCATGGACTCCCAGGAGGCATGTTCATCAACCAGGATCATAGCTTTCTCTGTTAAATCTGTGCTGCTGGTTTGGAGCTCACAGACTTGTGTGTCTACACATCAGCAAGAAGCAATGTTGTCAGCATTTTAGTTCTTTTATACCTTGAAGACTAATGCACAGAGAGAATGCACCATTTCCAGAGCACTTCATTAGATTTGCTGCCCAGAAATGCAATATTTTAAATATTTTCTGAAAGAATGATTTTCTTTTTAAAATTAAATATATTTCAGATTTTTCAGCTATATTACAGTTTACTTCTGTATAGTTCATCTTACCTTTTAATAAATTGATATTCTGATACTTTATTGAATTGGCTAGTACATTTGTACAGGACTTATTTAAGGTGTCTTGATCTTATTCTCCTTTTGATAGAAGCACTATGCTTTTTGAAGATGGTTCTGGACAGTTATTTTGATCAGTGGATCTGGTTCTTCATTTTATAAATGTGGTATAGTAGGGATTAGCATGCAGGGTTTCTCAGGATCACCTTGCATGGTGACTCATGTTCCATATGAACTCTCCTTAGTACTGGGTTCACTTTATATAGTATTTTCTTTTTATCCTGGATATGCCTTTGTGGGCTTGACTCCTTAAATTTGGCAGAATTAAGCAGCTGAAGTCCTAAAGAAACCATTTGTACCAGGTAACTGTCAGCTGCATTTCCTTTAATTAGTAAAGATCCTAGGGCATTGAAGCCTTCCCAAAAGTGTGTGCGTATGCTGGGGGGATAGAAGACAAGGGGCCAGGTGTCCCTTAGGTCCTGTTCCACCTTTTCTCCCAAAGTGCCACCCATTTCTCCAGAGGCACTTCCCTTACCTAAAGTGGGGCGGGGCCAAAAGCAATCAGACTCCACCAGCTGCTGGTCTGGCCAGGGAATAAGGTCTCAGGGGGAAGAAGGAAAAGGAGGCAAGGGGACAGGCCCATCCACTTCTAAAAAGTGGGAGAGCTATGGCACTGTGGCCTCCCTTGTTCTGGTGCCACTGTACTGATCTTTCACCCTTTCACCTTTCTTGCTATTGCTGAGGAGAGTATAGGTATTCTGTGGTGCAGGCAAACCACTAGATTCTCTTTCATTTGTATGTCTAGATTGAACCAAGACAAGGTGGGTGAGGTGGTAATTTTTATTGGACCAACTTCTACCTTGTGTGTTTAATATCCTAGGACCAACACTGCTACTACAACACTGCATTCTGGAATGAACAGAATCACTCTTATCGTAAGCTGGTATCTTTTACCAGAGTATAAAAATATAATTTAGTCAGTCATTTGACTGCTCAGTTTCTAGCTGTAACTTTCACATCTGAATGTTGATCCACATGAATCTGTAGAAACTAATCATGTTAAGCACTAATGTTGACACAAGAACAAATGGATATAAACTACTATTAATAATTTTAGGCTTCAAATTAGAGGAATGTTTCAAACTGTCAGAGACATGAAGTTCTGGAGCAGCCTTACAAGTGGAGTATGGGGACAAAAAAATCAAACTGGCAACATATCATTGTACATGGTCTCATCATACCATCCCCTGAATAAATTTATGAAGCTCAGTCTCAAAGCCAATCTGCAACCGCTAGCAGAAAATATCCCCAATGGCTAGTGATAAACACTAGATGGGAAGGATCCTAATGATTACAGAGAATTCTTTCCCAGGTGTTAGGCTGTTGCTGGGTCTTGTGAGCATGCTCAGGGTCTGATTGCCATATCTGGGATTGTGAAGGAATTTTGTCCTGGGGCAGATTTTTTTTCCCCCTTCTTCTGCAGAGTAGGGCCTGGGTCACTTGCAGATTTAAACGAGTGTAAATGGTGGATTCTCTTTAAGTCTTTGAGGGTTTCAGTAACCCAGCCAGAGGTTAGGAGTCTATTATAGGAGCAGGTGGCTGAGGTTGCAGGAAGTCAGACTAGATGATTGTGATGGTCCATTCTGGCCTTAAAGTCTATGAACTTGAGAGTCAAAAATAGATTTTGGGCAAACATCCAATTTATATTGATATTTGAGTACAGACTGTTTCACTGAAATATTACAGTGCAACATGAGTAGTTGCAGCTCATATTTCACACATAGTACACCTAGGAGAATTCTGTACCACTGAGCACATGCTTAATTAATGAGCTACACATTTAACGGTTTAGCAGAAAAAAAACTTTTGCTGGAAAGATGCTGCAGTTTTGCCTTTTGCCCAGCTGCAGGTGGTGTGGCACTAGAACAGAGCAGCAGCTTCTGGCCAGCTAGGGAAGGAAAAGAGTCTGCTTTCTTCAGAACACCTGTCAAGCTAGGTCAGGAGATGGGCTATGTGAAGACAGACGTGGAGCTGCTGTGGAGTTAGATAGGGGGTCATAAGGACTAATGGAGGAGGATAGGCTAGAGCAGGGTTTGAATGTTAGCGGATGTGCAGGACCACATGGTGATCGGTAGAGAGGGTGCCGGGGCCTAAGGACAAGGTGGCTGAGTAGGGAGACAGGGAGGGAGTGCAGGGCCCCATAGAGATGGGGAATTAGTATTTAGTGGAGAGAATTGGTATGGGGGTGGAGGGACATGTTGACAGGAGTGCAAGGATACATGGGGACAGGGCAGCTATGCCTGACTTGGAGAGGCTCACGGTCTGTATGGGGGAAGCTTCCTAACAATTCCTTTTCCCCCTACCACCAAAAAAAACCTGTTCTATACTCCTCCCACCCACACGCAACAACACTCCCAAGTTCATACCCAGGCTCCTTCCCACCAATTGCCTTTTTTCAGCTCCTCCATATCTTCTGATTCTCCTAAGCCTTGACACTGGTTCTAAGGGGCGTGGAAAATATGGAATTGTATTGTAACAAATGAATTATTACTCAGAATTCTGTATTAATATGCCTACTAAGGAATCTATTTGTTTAAAAAAAAAACAAACAACCCGAATCTTTTGTCTGAATTGTTACAGACACACTTGCTGACAAGGTATTTTGAAATAAATGACCAAAAATAATTGAAACTGGTGTGATTGTGTTATTTTGACAAATAAAATGCAGAATTTTGCAGAATTTGAAAATATTCTGCACAAAATGTTTTGGTGCAGAATTGCTGCAGGAGTAACATAGCTAGTAAATTGACTGTCTGCCACCTGTGACAGTCTTTGTGAAATGTTAAATAACTCTTCAATTTTTTTGCACCTTTCATTCAGTGTTACTGAAGATGATACTTCCAGGGATACAGTCAAATATCTTAGATCTCAGATTAGACCTCTCAATATTGTTAGTCTCAGAGAAAGTTACCAAAATGCTTTTTAAATAAAATTTCACTATTATTTTATACCAAAGAACAGCTAATGAGCCTTGCTGTAGAACTAGTCAATGCAGGGGAGCAAAGATTTATTAACAAAAAGCATTTCCAAATTCTGCTGATGTTTTTTTAATATCAGTACATGATTCAAAGGGAAAAAGTATGTTAACATAAGTTCGATTGAACCACAAGGAGGAGGTGAAATGGAAGTGTAAGTGGAAAAACCAGAAAATTAATAGTAAATTGTTTGTTATAAAATGGTGGTGTTCCTTTTAAAGGAGGGTATGGATAAGAACACAACCTGCTTATCTATACTGTAATCACAAACAAGACAATGTTCTTCACTTTTAACATGTGGTTTTTCTGCTTTCCAAATCTAAATGTACGGTAACAGATGACAAGTGGTAAGGAGAGTGAGAGAGAGACTGGCAGAACAGAATTCCATATGATAGGATGACTGTTAGGGCTGGTAGCTGAAGCAAATGCACTTTAAAGTGCATTGCAATCTAAATGCATTGAAGTAATCAAAGTAGTAATCATCATAGAATAACCTAAGGCCAGTGACTGCCAAATAATGAGGAAGAAAAAGGGGGAAATGCAATGTCTTTTAAATGTAACTGTTTATTTAAAATAACTGACTTAACAGAAAACATCTACTTCTGAGAAGTACATCTCTTCTTCCAGTGTAGTGTTATAGGTCCTCCTCCTGAATCTTCAGAAAATACTAAATACCCAGATTTGTATTTCTTGTGTTCTTTAGTTATGGATATTTTAGCTTCATTTTCATATTAAAAACAGATTTTTTTTCAGGTGAAAGTAAATGGAAGCATTGCCACAATTGTCTCTTAAAACAATGAGAGAAACAATAAGGTCCTGGAAGCAGAATTCTTTGGATTAATCTAGGAGTCTAAAATTTTCCTCAGCATTTTATTTACTGTCTACAGTTTTTAAATGGCAACACACAAAACAAAAGTGAATTATCCTTTAATTTCATTCAATGCAATTAGGCTGAATGCTATTCACTAATTTAATGCTGTCTGATATATTGCTATACAGTATTAGTTTGCAGAGTACAAAGGAAATGTTGAGGACTTAATCATTCATCTGGCATTTGTTGCCTTAGCAGCATCTTGAGAATGTGTGAAGGGACTGATTGTGTCTGGTATAATCTGTTCTTTTCAGATGAGATTAGATGACAATCAATAACTCAGTATCATGCGTTCCCTCTAACATTTTCTTTCCTTGTGCAGGTTGAATTTTCTTTTGGGCAGGTTTAAGTTTGTGTGCCACCCATATTGAGGTTGTGTGTGGGTGGATGTGCATCACCAATGCAAACAAAACACACATGATTATAAGCAGTCCATATGTGTGGAAGAAAATATTAAAACAAGGGATATTTAACATGGAGCAATGCATACAATATTTAATATGATTAAATAAAAAAAAATCCACTACCCTTAGAGTACATATCCACCTTTCTAACAGGTCAAGCTAGTACTTGCAGCTTCTAATGCATAACAGCCACAACTCTACCAAATAGCAAAGATCTGGCCTTAATGTAATACAATATACCGTGTATTAACTAGTAACACAGATTTTTAAAAAAACATTAAGTTCAGAGTTTTAGATATTTGCAACACTCCACAACAGTTCAGTTAAAAGAATCTTTTTTCTTATCTTAAGCTGTTAACACCTTATGCAAACTTTGTTTGAAATGCAATCATGCAAATGTCCTGGCATACACATGCTTCCCTTACACCCTGCTCCCCGGCAACCCAGTCAGACAGAGAGGACTGCAGCTAGTCAGACATCCCAAACAAACTGCCCCTGCCTCCACCTCACTGCACAGATGCCAGCACCCACAAACTCTCTCTTTTCCCAACATAAACCATGCAGCCAGCCCCTTACCTTCCCCTTCCCAGGAAGCTTGAGAGTACTGAGTTTCTGCTTCTCTCTCCTCCTGAAGAGGAAAAAATATCTAACTCTTTAAAAACTAACAAGATAGGTGATTAATAATAATACTAAAACTATCTTGTTAGTCTTTAAAGTGCTAGATATTTTTTCCTTTTGTTTTACCAAGATCAGACTAACATAGCTACCTCTCTCTCACTCCTGAAGAGGGATGCTCTAAACTCTCCTCCCCTCTAACTCATCAGCTAATTAATTACTAGCTACTTCTCTCTTACTCCTGAAGAGGGATGCTCTAAACTTTCCTCCCCTCTAACTCATCAGCTAATTAATTACTCCCCATCTTCCCAGCCACTAATTGTCTCCTTATCTCCATTTTTACTGGCTCTCAATGAGCTCAATTCAATCAAGTAGCTAGCTTCATTTAGCTACTTGCCAGTGAGAGGTTCCTCCCCCCACAAAACAGCTGAGTTCCCTGCTGTGTGGGACCTTTGAACTTCTGAGCAGAGGTTAGAAAACGGCTGAAAGAGCTTGCAGCTTACAGGGAATCGTGTTGTCATCAATAATAACAACATAGCCCACAATCTTGCAAGAACTCACAGGATTATTATTCATGGTACTCTGGAAGTGCTGGGAGAGAGGGAGAGGAATAGGTATGTGCAGGGCCCCCAGCATGTGAGAAGTATGAGGGGAGAAGACAGAGGAGAGGTGCCTGGACTGCACACACAACCCAGATGGGCCACATACAGACCGTGGGCCATAGGTTGTCTAGATGTGTCAGAAATCCTTAAAAATGACCTAATCTTAAGCTTCTTGTGTTATAAAATAAAAAAACCTGAAAACTGAAAAATTGACACACATCACAAATTAAAGCTTTAATAGTTTCAGCTGTGGCCTATTAAATTCTCAAGCGCTCTCAGTAAGATTGCTTAGTGTAGGTATCATCGCTAGCTGCAAATACAAGTGAAAGTATGTGTGCTTACAATGAAACCAGTGCTGGAGACTAAGCTCTGTTCATTCAGTTATCTGGCATCTTGACAGACTAGTGAGTAATCGAATAGGAACTGCAAGAATGTATGCATTACTTCTTCTCCTTCCAAGAAACTACAAAATCTTACTAACCAGAATTGTGATGTCCATGCACTGGCCACAGTAAAGTGAGACATAATGGTGCATGGCTGTCAAATTGTACAGATCATTCAAGTTTGTCCATATACTACTAAATACGAGAACATTTCAAATCAGTGGTGGGCAATCTGTGGCCCTTTGTGTGAGACATTATTTTGTTTACTGTTGCCCACATACAGGGTTGCCAGATTCTTATGGTTTTCATTTGCATAGTTTTTTTCCTATCAGTGTTACAAAAGTGACACACAATTGAAGCAAGGGCACATGAAATGAGGTGCATGTTGATTGCGTACAATGCAATGAGAGCTGTGAGCGCCCTCTACATCCAAAGTGCTGCGACGGTTCAATTGGTACACCCCACAAATTCTGTGTATGCAGTTAGCAAAACTACCCTATCCCTGGAGACCATCTTGGTTACAACAATCTTGCAAACCACTGAGATGAAGGGCCACTTAGACGGCCCACTCACTAGCATAGGTTGCCCATTATTGTTGAATTCTCATCTAATTGGAAAGCTGTAGCAATGCTATGTAATTTACCTGACCAGACAGAGTAATGGACAGTACATGCAGTGTATGTAAGATGCTCACAAAACTATTCATAATTAAGGAATTAAAAAGAAAAAGGTTTAATTACAAAGTGGAGGAAGTTAGTCTGTTAAATTATGCATTATGAATTTGCTCATGAAATCTCACCACATTTAGGGCAGCTATATCAATAGTCTGTTCAAATAACCTGGCATAAAAGCTCATTTAAAGCTGTATTTGATACAATATTTTTTTCATTCTGGAAAATAGTTTGAATGTCTAAGAACACCAGAATTATTTATTGAGGTTGTCATTGTGTTTTGTTACATTGGAAAATCATTAACAAACAAACATGTTGTGGGCCCTATGGGGTGTAATATGAAACTAGAAATTCACACTTTATCCCATTTTTCGTCTGTTCACATGATTATGTCATTGGACTATTGGCGAGTCATATAGCTGATGTCTTAGCCCCTCAAGCTTGCAAGAAATTTTCTTTGTTCTCACTTTTTTGCAAATCATTGAATGAGTTGATTTGACTCTTTAAAAAAGTGACTGTTTTTTCTGTTTCTACTTCAGAAGATACTTACAGTGCAATTATAGCTTGGAGCAGAAAACAGGAAATACTTTATTTGCCTTGTCTTTAACCTCCCTTTTTGTTAGATTTAGATTTTTTTTTTTTTGTACAAAGACATATCTCTCTGAGTGAGAGTGTACGAAACCTATGAATCACTGTTGTTATGTAACAACAAATGGTCTGGTAGCACTTTATAGACTAACAAAACATGTAGATGGTATCCTGAGCTTTTGTGGGCACAGCTCACTTCTTTAGATGACCCGAATATTTTTTGTTATATAAGTCATTTTAATTATTGGTTTATATTATAGTGCTATGTATTCTTATCTTGATGTCAGTAGCATTGATCATATCAGTGACCAAAATAAATAAAGAACCATCTTTCCTGACTGTTAAATGTTCTGTTCGAAATCTAAGAAACTTTGCCCTTTTGGATTGTTTTTTGTTTCTTATCTTTATACAGTTACTAAATAAATGTTAAATCCTCACTTCAGTAGAGAGTGTTATTTGACAAAGAATCAGCAATGACCTGTAATTTAAATCATAGATCTCCAAGTAAAGCCATCTTCAGGA